GAACTTCGCTGCTATGCTCTGTGTTAGAAGGAAGGGATGATTGGAGAACAGATGCCGCTACATCCTCAGCAACAGCCCGAAGTTTTTGCTTGATTATTTCATCTGCTGATCCTTCAAAAAAGCACCAAACAACTCTAAGAAGATCACAATATAGATTATTAGTGTTAATACACGACTTAATCCGTCAAGTGTACACTAATTAGATTTCTTCCATGAAAGAATAGTACTTTCGCTGATTCACTAAATCTAGACCCAACTTAGCCTTTGATTATGACCTAATTTAGTCCTCAGAGGACAACAATGCCCTTCATAAATAGTGTATAAACTGTCTGATAATTGAAATAAGTCCAGAAGAAAGTTAGAATGAAATTGAATAAGAACATTTTCACATTTGATCTATTATACCAATCTCACAATTAGGCTCATGTCTTTCACACTGTCCATATTTGGTACATGACTATTGTTGCTTGTCAACCCGGACCAAAAGTGGAATTGCTTCATTGAATAGTACTACCTCCTTCCCTAAAAAAGAGTCATGCTCACCCCTAAAAAACCCACGTTTTACCAAAAAAAAAGTCATCTTCTTTAATATTTAGTAAGGTACCATGGTTGGAAATCTTCAAATCTAGCTATACTCTTAAATTTACTTATTGGTGTAGCTAATTTTTTTATTACTTCACCTGCTTGGCACAATTTGTTCGAAATAATACATATATTCCAATCAAATCTGATTTGTTCAATTAAATACAGATTTTTTTAATAGTAATAACACATTTTCAGATACATCGTGTTTTGGATGAAGGGACTAGACTACTAAAGTATACATACAAAGGACGAAACCAGTCATTGATTAACGCGTATAAAATAGAATAAAAATTCCTAATTTTGTGGAAAGTGCAGAATAAAATTGGAACGTGAGTTCTTAAACCTTTTTTGAAGCACAAGGAAAGATGGAAAGATGAGCCCGTAATAACCTACATCGAGCGTTGGAGAGATCTTGCCCTCAACTGCAAAGATCGGATCTCTACAAACTCCGTAATTGATATGTGCATTGAAGGCATGCATTGGGAGTTATGTTATATGCTCAAGGGAGTGAATCCAGCTACTTTCGATGAATTAGCAAGCAAAACTCGTAACATGGAGTTAAGTATTGCAAGCATTGGAAGACAACCTATGGGCATCTATCCCATGAACAATGCCGCTGAAAAGCAAGATACCAAGAAAGGGGGCACGCCCTTTTCTAAATTTGAAAAGAAAGAAGCAATGGTTGTGAAGGCTTCACTAGTCAAAGTCTTCACTCAAACTACTGAGAAGGCGAAACAAGTTGATAAAGTTGAAACTGAAGCCTCAGGGCGTGTCAAGCCGACTTTGCGAGAGATGATGGAGAAGCAACATCCTTTCTTGGAGTCTGATGTTTCTCCAATGTTTGATGAACTCACGAGGTTGAAACTTGTTGATTTACCCCATTCAAGATGACCTGAGGAAGCCACAAAGGTCAATGATCCTACTAACTACTGCAAATACCAAGAGTGCTGAGTCACCCGGTAGAGAAGTGTTGGGTGTTCAAAGACAAGATTATGGATTTAGCCTGCGAGAGAAAGATTGAACTTGCTGATTCTGCAGCAAATACAAACCAAATTACCATTACATTTGGTAGGTTTGCTCTGCTAATGGTCAACGACGATCCAAATTTTAACAAACATAAGCTCCTTTTTACTGTCAAGGGAATGAAAGAATGCCATCCTCTCACTAAAAAAATGACACTTGAGGATGTTGATGACAAAGGAAGATCATGGACCTTGGTAACTCGAAAGAAACAAAAGAAGGACCACAAACCTAAGCCACAACCAAAGAAGGTGGTAAAGATTTGGGTCATGCAACAATGGATAAACGAGTTGAAGAGAAAGAAGTAAAGGAAGGACTGTGTTCGATCCAAGGTTGCGAGAAGGGTGATTACTCTCAACGACTTTATGCCAAAGGATTTCAATGACGAGATGACTCAAATTTCGAGTTCTTGTCTTAACACCCACGAGAAAGAAGTTGAGCGTTCAAATGGATGTTCATCTCCAGTTTCGACTAAGAAAGAAGTGACCGAAGCACAAAAATCTACTTCACACGTCACTGACATTGTCTTTAAACACGAAGATCTTATGTTGGGCGCAACTCCCCATAACCGTCCACTCTTTGTTGAAGGATACACCCGTGGACAAAGATTCAGAAGAACAATGATAGATCAAGCAAGGGTTTTCCGTTAACATTTTAACGGTTCGAGCTATGAAAGACCTTTATATATCAATGGATGAACACGCTCAAAGCCGCTTAATGATTCAAGGCTTCAATCAAGGGGAGCAAAGGGCGATTGGAATGATGTGACTTAATTTGGTTATTAGCGGAATGAAGGCAATCACTCTATGACATTCATGCAAAGGCTTCATACAATCTCCTTCTGGGACACCCATGGATCCATGAGAATGGTGTAATTCCTTCAACGTGGCATCCATGCTTCATGTATGAGGAAAATGGTGTTGCAAAGAAGATAGTGGCCGATGAAACTTCATTCACAGAAGCCGAGACATACTTTGCAGATGCGAAATTTTACATAAAGGCCAAAGTTTCTAAAGATGATGATGCTAGACAAGAGGAAGAATATCGCCCCTTGATTGTACCAAAGCTAAAAGGGAAGCTTATTGAACACATAGAAGGGCTTACATTCCCTCTTGCAAAGATTGAGATGTCGAGGCCTCCTCAAAATGCATCTGAGGAGGAGGTGAAAATGAAAATGATGTTAAGGCATTTCAGCTCCCTAAGGCACACACAAATGAGTGATTTGACCCAAACTCATACGAACTTCTGGCCAAGGCTGGGTATAATCGCAACGAACAAAAGTTTGGAAAACTCATTCCGGAAGCTGGTGGTGAAGGGAAACCGAAGCAGATCAATCTTCAAGGGCACACAAGATTGGGTTATGTTCAGCCGAAACCCATAAGGATCCTCATAAATAGAGCAGCAACACATCATATCGGTGGTGGTGAAGAAGATGAAGTGACTTCTAAGCCGTAGTATTTCGTCTTTGATCAGATTGGGAGGACAAGATCAAGACCCGCCATATTTGATAGAATGGGGCCGAAGCCAAAGAAGATCATGAAGAAAACTTTACAAGAAAGGTTTTCGATGATCCCGGTCATCGTGAAGCACGTTGAGGACCCATGTAGCGGGCAAAATTTTGAGAGAAAGCCAGTACATGAAAGGTTGGGGAAAATTCGCTCATGCAAGAGGTCTTTCAACAAATATGCAAAGACACAGGATTTGAATGAATGCAGAAGCTTGATTCCGTCAAGAATGAGACGAGAAACCGATGTGAAAATCTTGTGTGGAGAAACCCTCAAAGCACCACTGAAAACCATAGTACAGACTCAAATGTTTGGAAATGATGAGTTGATATTTGATGAGCTGATTCATATGAGTACAAAGAGACGTTTTGATACTACCAAATGGTAATTGTATGTATCTAGTAGAAGTATTTCTTGTTGTTTATAGGCACAATAATTACCTATGTGTCAAAAACCTGAATTGTGATAAAAAGCGATGAAAACGAAGTCATAAATCCCAGGGGATCAACACTTCTAGGCCACCGTATGTAGCAAAAAGTACCTCAAACTATGTAATTGCCATTTAGGAATCAACCAACATAGGAATAGGACCTAATCAACGTCGATCATCTCACTGGCCTAGCTGGCTCTGGACCTATGCTAACCGGCGTTGGACACTTGTGAATTTCGAGGAAATTGAGGCCCAATCGGTGCTGGATCTGAAAAATCTATAGAAAATGAGGCGGCATGCAAGATATTCTTGAGCTGAAATGAAGATATTTGGAGGATATGACTCAAAATTTCTTTGCAATCTCATCTGAGATCATGAATACACTATCAAAGATCAATGAAGGTTAATGAAGGAAATTTGTACTATGCATATCCATTGTACTCGATGGTTGAGCATATATAATTGTCTAACGTGAAAAGAGTTCGATGTGATCACAAGATGCCCCATCCTACGTCCATACTTAAGCATTTCGAGTTCCCATTATATATAGATCGAGACATCCCTCCAAGGTCAACATCCTATCCAACATCTCGTCCACCCACGTTATGCCTTCCACCCTCATACATGATTAGTACGTACCCATCAAAAGAAACGTCACACAAATGAACTCACTCTCATACACTAGTCCCCTTCACTCATGTAACATTCAAGGTGAATATAATGGCCTCCTTTTCTTATCACCCTCGTACACCAAATTATAAAAATCCTTCATAACCAACTGATGCAAAAAAAACTCACTCCAACCTTTACAATAACTTCCATAACCCCAACCCCCTCTTTCTCTTAAGAAAACCACCCAAACACGTGAATATTAAGGGGATCCTTTCCATTATGCCTCACACGATCAATAGTGAAACAATTTGGATAACTCAACATTAAAGTTGGAACTATTCTACGATTGGTGATACTATGCCAATCTTAGGAATCACCCTTAAAGAAGTCCCTTCACTCTTATAAATTATAATTATCAATGTAGTATCAACCTCTTATAATTATTTTATGTGTTTTTTTATGAAAGATAAATATATAAATAACTGCAAAATATATACAACATCCAAAGGGCATCCCCTCGTAGCTTAATCATTACAAAGACAAAAATTGCTTAAGCGTCATATTTTTGAGTTTACACATTACACCATTCATGTATAGACTAAAAACCTTGTCAATATTCCTCGCTAATGAACATCAGAAAACACCAGAAGCTGCCAGCACCAACAACAGTTCTTTAATCAATTCCAAACAGCAAAAACACCATAAAGATCCAACAAGGAGCACCAGAAATTACCATCAAGCAACTGCCACAAAAACCCCATCCCATTGCTAACCCAAATGTTCAATCATATTAGTAGGGTAAAATTTAAACATGATTTTATATACTAATAGTCTGCTCAAAAATGTTTCATCACATTTTTCATTACAACCCTCCCTCACATGTTTCATCATCCGCCGTGAACATACGGCTCTGAAGTAACACTTACCCCCATTCTCTCAACAGTCTTAGCTACACAATCATCAACCGGAATAGGGACAATCTATGGCGCTACTCTCCCAATACTCAGCAACGTTTTCCTTGAAAGTAAAACCAATATCACCATTGGTATCTTTTCTTGGCAGCTCTGTTCAGATAAAAAAATCTATTTCACTAATAACGGTGCCTTCTTCTTCCTCTTCTTCTTCTCTGTTCCGTATCCGCTGTTACTCTGCTCTCTCTGAGCGGCCCATTAGGTTTACCTTTTTAATCGTTTGATAGAGATATTTGTGAATAAATGTGTGCATTTTCCAGCAATATTGAATTCGTGAGTCGTGACTTTTGTTTGGATTGTTCAAACAGATATGCAGTTCTTGGTGCTGGATATGCCGGGCTGTCTGTGGTTTGGCATTTGTTGCAGGTATTTTATTTCTTCATTATAGAACTATTGTGTATATCGTTTCTTTAATGTGCAGATAATCTGTAAGTAGCTTCTGATTGAGAAGTGAGCAATCGAGCATCTGCACATGTTTTTTCTTCTGGGATATGAGTGGGGGAAGTGGAAAAGACTCCATCTTTAGGGTCCGTTTGTAACTATAAAAGAAAATAGGGAGGGGAATGTAGTTTGAGAGTAAATAATATTTGGAGAAAGTAAAAGATAGTTAAAACTCAATAATCAATTTTAGCTAGTTGCTCAACATTAAGTTTTTTAAATTTCTATTATTCCAAGGCACAGAAATCTGAATACACAGCTAAGCTGGTAAAGTTTAATTTATTATTTTATCAAAACTTATTTTATTTCACATTTTGCTATGCAAAACCAAACATTTTTTTGTAAACAAATACATTTTCCATTAGCATTTTTTCGTCTTTCCCTTTCATTTTCCAGGGTTCAAACATATAACCTTTGTGTTCTGATGGGTCAAATGTGGTTTTATAATTTTGCATCTTTCTTCCTTATTCATTTTTGTATGTTTAATGTAGTTCTTCGTCACCTCTTTTTTCTTTCAATTTCCACTTGAGCTGTTTTTAATTGCTATATAATCTTATTTTTCAGGAAAGTCCCAAGGAGTCACACCTTTTCATTGATATATATGATGAAGTTGGCTTTGGTGGAGGCGCATCTGGAGTATCTGGAGGACTCCTTCATCCATACTCTCCTAAAGGTTCAAACTGAACACATTCTATGTTAACCACCAGGTTGAGATTTTGGTACGGCTTTATATCAGTTTTCTAATCATTTCTTTGCAGTTAAGCTACTCTGGAGAGGAGAAGAGTGTTGGAAGGAGAGTTTAAATCTTTTAAGGATAGCTGAAGATGTAAAAGTGTCCAAATCATTGTACTTCAAAGAACAAGAAGATCATGGTCAGATAGGAAATGACTTTATGGTTGGAAGAAGGTTAGGGCATTCTTTTCTTTTCAGTCCTCTCCTTGATCATTAAAGAGTGGGTTTCGCTACACACAGTTTCCCTAACTCAGAGGCATGGCCTTACAATCATATTCACATATGCAGGAGTATATTGTTATGTGGTTAGAAGTACATTTTTAGATGAAAGGTAAATAAAGTCAGCCGTCCCACATTTTTGTTTCTTTTCTGAGGATGTGAAGAAGTGTCTTAAATGCTCTTTCTTTGTGATTTGGTTTCCAATTTTACTCTTCCCTTTTGTGTATCTTTCTTGTTACCCAATGTTATTTACGAAGTACTCCATATGTATTTTGTTTCACAACTTTACAACACAGTAACACACACTTCTTTCTGTTCTCTTTCTCTTTTATTTCTCTCATACCAAAGTATTATAAAATTTACCCCTTTTCTCACATGTTTCTTTATTCCCATACCCCACAGTGGAATCCTGAGGCCTGCACATAGTGTGAAGAATATGGAAATTATGATTGATGTGAGTGCTCAAACTGCTAACATGACTATAGACATGTAATACTATATTATTATAAATGAGGACAACTTTTTATTTATTATGCTTCAGTAGAATGCTCAGAAAGGCCTCCCAAGCTGTAGAATAGAGAGAATTGATAAAGAAGCTGCACATGAGCTGATTCCAGGTTTATATGTGCCTCTAGACCTGGCCTTTCACATGCCTCAAGCTCTCACTGTAAATTCCCAATGCTATCTTAAGGTGAGGGAATGAAAAAACACTTCTATTCTATTAAGAAATCTAAACATTAGCATAAATTTATTATATTAATCATAATTCATTTTCCCTAGAATTAGCCGTGGTAAAGACAAACATAAGTACATAACTACTCTGCTTAGCATTTTGTTTCCTTTCCCTAGAAAAGTAAGGGGGTGTTTGGAACTGATTCTGCTTCTGCTTCTTTTTTAAAAGCAGAAGCAGAATCAGAATCAGTTTTCAGAAGCTGGTATCTCCTAGCTTCTAAAAAAACTGATTCTGAGAGTAAATTAGAGCTCCAGAAGTGCTTCTGGAATTTCACCCAAACACTCCAGCTTCTGTTTCTGCTCCCTGAAGGAGCAGAATCAGTTTTGAGAATCAGATCCAAACACCCCCTAATTATTAAAATAATGTCACCTCTTAAGGCTCTTATGCTTGGAATGTTGGATTGAGTTAAAAAAGAAAGTAATTAAGTTTATTATCTTTTATTTCAGGGAACCTTAGTAGTATATCCTAAAAAAATTAAAGTTTAACTAGCAGGATAAGAAAGGGCGGGTTTCATAATAAATGGTGACTTTTCCTTCCACTTTGGTAAGAAAAAGGAGGATGCAAAATAAGACCTATTTTTTCGTTCATAGTTTTCCCTTCCCTTCCCAAACATGATATTGTCTGCCTCCCTATTCTACCTCCATGTTTTCCTTATATGTTTTCTTTTTCCTGAACATAGTTTTAAATTTTTACTTTGCCATGTGATGACATTGTTATAGGCTCTCTACTCAGCATGCCAACTTTCTGCAAAAGAATCTCCCAATTCTGGCGGTGCACTTAAAGAGTTGCGTTTACACAAAAAACCCATCAATCGTCTCCTAGACCTAGCAGGTAAGTTCTGACCAGCAAAAACAATCAAATGAGAAAAAGAAACATGAAGCTTTTCAGTCCTAATACTTACAGTTGTCCTTATCATGTGGCAATCTTTTAATTCTAGTTTTCCTTTTTAAGCCTGTGATAATAGTTTTGTGGGAAAAGGGACAGATAGGCCCTCAAACTTACATAAAAAGGTCAAATAAGTCCTTATATAGGAGCCTCTGTCCAGCCGTCACCATTTGGGGCGGTTCCCGGTGGAATTTTTTGATGAATTTTTTTGAGCATCTTATTCATTAAGTCTAGTTTACTCATACCAAATTTCAGCTAAAACTTCAATCGGTAAGGCATTCAAATGAATTTTTGAAGATAACTGCGCAGTTATCTTCAAGAACATAAGGGCTTATTTGACCTTTTTACGTAAGTTTGAGGGCCTATTTGACCCTTTTCCCTAGTTTTGTTTATGGACTTCTCAATGTCTTTGCAATATGTTACTTAAGGTGTGTTTGGATCAGGGAAAAGAAAAATGCTGGGGAAATTATTTTTTTACACCTTTTCTTGGAAATGCTTGGGAAAAATGCTGTGGCACGTTTTCCATATATTTAGATTTCTTATCCTTATATGATAGACACACATGAACAAAATGAGTTTAATGAAATTTCAAACATAAATCTATTGGGTTAAAGTCGGTCTTTTACTTTTCTCCACGTTTTCTTTCCTTCCAATCTTATGTTATTTTTTCCATTAGTTTCTTTCCTTAACATTTTCCTATTCTCAAACAGATCTTAAATTATCAAAGGGTTTGTTATGGGACATTTCTTTCAGGGGAGTATGATGCAGTGATAATATGTCTTGGTGCTAGAGCAGCTTTTCTCCCAGAACTCTCTGGAAGGATCCCGTTGCGGACATGCAGGGGCATCATTGCTCACTTGAAGGTTGATGATGACGTTAGGTAACTATTACTCCATATTATACATCATATATAAAATTTAATAACATCATACATGATACATCAGTACATCACAACTAGTTCCATGACAGTTTTATACTCCCTCCGTCCCAATATAAAGAGCACATTTGCTTTTTCAAACATTTTTAGGAGGAACACTGTTTGGCACTGTTTCGACACTGTTTGGCCACTGTTTGACACTGTTTTGCACTGTTTTGTTTGCCAAAAGGGGAAATGTGCCTTTTATATTGGGACGGTCAAAAAAGGAATACGTGCCTTTTATATTAGGACGGAGGGAGTATTCATTTCTAAAACCTGCATGTGATCTTCGAAAATTTTGAAAATGGTCCAGAAACCTTAGGAAATTACCAAAAAGAGCCTCAAAACATTTCAAAAATGATATTTTCCTTCTTTAGTTCCCAACTTTACACTATGCATTTTTTTTTGTTTTTGTGTGCTTTGATTTCAGAGACGGTTATCCCGCGGACTCCCCCTCCATATTATCTGATGCATGGATTGCCTTTCATGGCCCACAAGATCTCCGAGTAGGTGCCACATGGGACTGGAACTCGAGGAACTACTCAAGGGGGGTTTCTCGGGAGGAAGGTAATAAAGCCATAGAAGAGCTTCTGCATCGCAAAGCTTCGGCAATGTATCCTGCCATAAAGAATATGACTACTGTCACGGGTATGAGTGGAGGCTTAAGGGCAGTTCCTCCACTCACACCTCAAGGATCACTTCCACTATTGGGTTGTGTTGATGAGTTTGTGTCCGGGAATCAAACGGATAATAAGTTTTGGTTACTTACCGGGCTCGGTTCAAGGGGTTTGTTGTACCATGGTTGGGTTGGCAAGTTGATGGCACGAGCCGTTCTTTCTCGTGACGAGGGGTTGATCCCTTATGAACTTATTTCATGGAAAAGCATAATATAGAGCATTGGTTTTCTAGTGTTTTGGATTTAGGGGAATGAGGAAATAAATTTTTGGAAAAATGTGTGGCTTTCGAAAGGGTGGGTTCTCATCCATTGTTTATGTGTTGTTTTTACTGTTAGATGTAAAAAAAAAAATAGTCCTATGGTTAAACATCTAATCCGGAGTCCGGACACAAAGCAAAGTCACATGTCAATCCGTACATATTGCATAACCTTTGAAAAAAATCAAATTGTTGCATAATCCATTGGACAATGTAATATAAATAACAACTCCCACGTCTTTCAATAATCGGTCATAAAAAACACGACGAATCCAAGCTAACAAAAAAGACTCGAAATTTCAAGGAAAAGAAAAAAGCCCGAGGAAAAGAATAAGGGGATTACGAAAAAGAAATAGAACACCATAACAATGGCTGGGCAGGCTGGCAACCAAAAGCCTGTTGTGGTGTTTTTGATGATGTCCATGGTTGCCCTCTCCTCTAACCTTATCTTTTGCGTATCCGCTGACTCGGACATGTTTGACGGCGCCATTCATGCTATCAAGAAAGATTCTGACATGTTCGGTGGTCCTGGTCCTATTGTTACAGTTAAAAAGGATTCTGACATTTTTGGTGATAAAATCCATCCGGTTAAGAAGGATTCTGACATGTTTGGCGGCCCTATTCATACTATTAAGAAAGATTCTGACATGTTCGGTGGTCCTATAGTTAAAAAGGATTCTGACATTTTTAGTGATCCTATCCATACGGTTAAGAAGGATTCTGACATGTTTGGCGGCCCGATTCATACTATTAAGAAGGATTCTGACATGTTTGGTGGTCCTATCATCACCGTTAAAAAGGATTCTGACATTTTTAGTGATCATATCCATACAGTTAAGAAGGATTCTGACATGTTTGGTCCTATTCATACCATTAAGAAGGATTCTGACATGTTTGGTGGCCCTATCGTTACTGTTAAAAAGGATTCTGACATTTTTAGTCATCCTATCCATACAGTTAAAAAAGATTCAGACATGTTTAGCGGTGATAGTTCTAGACAAGCTATTCAAACTTCCATGATAGCAAAGGTATTTTACTTGCCATTTTCTAATAATATACCTACGTACATAGTTATACATACCTACATATAGTATCAAAGATACGTATATATGATTTATGAAATACTCTCTAAATTATCCTTCCATTTTATTGTTTCATACATCTCTAAAATATTCCCATTTTCTGGAAATTAAAAAATATATTGCCTCCGTCCTAAAATATGTAGTAAAATTTAAAACTTTGATCAACTGTATATTTTTATTGAAAATTATTTATCATACCAAAATGATACGGAGTAGAAAATATTCTTTGTTAAAAGTAGTTTCATAAAAGTTTAAAATTTATAACTTTTATAATATTATACTAATCAAAATTATGATCCAAATTTTAATAGATGTCTAAGTGTATTTTGGGACGAAGGTAGTATCATCTTTAAATTAATCTCAATTACATACGTAGTAGAATTTTCGCCTTTTAAACTTGTGCATAGTGAAAGTAAGTAGCAGCAGTGGTACGACACCTCACAAATGAACGAGGATATTATACCTGCAATACATTTGATCGATCCAAGTAATTATCTCATCATTTATTAATATTTAAACTATTCAATTGTTATTTTTAATTGGTCAGCAGAGTACATTTTGCCTATAATTTTATCAAATAGATAACTTAAGAAAATGACATGTATATGTAGCCTACTATTTTTAAATATAAAAAAGAGTACATTTTAGTATATAAATAAAAAATTGTACGTGCACTTTTGTGCTGACAATTTAGCAACATGTTATATTTATTTGATACAATCTAAACGAATTGATAAATTTAATTGTTGCAGCCAATCCACAAGGACGGCAACGGCAAGGTCGCACCTGCGCCGGCACCGGCAAGTAAACTCCCAAGATCATTGGGCGCACACAAGAAAAATTAAAACGCAGTGGAATAACATTCTCTGAATCTCTGATCTTCAGTATGTAATTAATCTTTTATGATATTATAAATTCATGATTTCTTGGGATGAAATCTAATGGATTAAAAATTCTCTATCTGATTCTAATGCAAAACTTTTAGAACCAGAATGATTCTATAGAACTTACATCCTGTGGAAAGTGTAATTCAATAAACTAAAGTTTTGATGGATTTATGAGTTTTGTTATGAATTATTTATATACGTAGTACCTAATGAGAATTCAACCCACATTTTATGCAATATAATGAGAAAAATATATAACTGCTCTTTATAATAGTGATTGTTTGTTAATTTATTGATACTTCACACACAGCAAAATGATTGTCAAAGCTAGGTTTAGAGAAGCTTTGAACGAAAAATAAAAATAGATAGTTTTCATTCAATGTGTAATTTAGGATGTTTTCTTTTGGACTGAAAATTGCTGGTCTGGTCTAGTCTGATCTGGTCTGGTCTGGTTTGATAAACGTCTGGTCTCTGTGTATTTTATAAAATCGGAAGTCCGGTCTGATCTGGTCCGGTCTAATCTGAGACTGAAAACAGTCCAAAAGAAAACATCCTTATTTTAAAATACACGCATAATCATTGCACTCCATTAATAAATGAGAGAATTCCCTAAATAGAAGTAAAAATGTTTTGAAATTCCAAAATGGGATTATCATGTTTTTTATTCCCTGAATAGGAGTAAATTTTTTCTAAGTTTGGCATTACCGGGCTTTAAACATGATATTTTTTTCCAAACTTGACAGATTATTCCTATTCAGGGAATAAAAAACATGATAGTCCTATTTTAGAATTTCAAAATGTTTTTACTTCTATTTAGGGCATTTTCTGTTCATAGATCTATTAGATACATACAAATTATTTTATCATGCCCCCACATAAAATATTTTAACAGAAATTGTCCTAAATAGGAGTAAAAATATTTTGAAATTCTAAAATAGAACTATCATGTTTTTTATTCCTTGAATAGGAGTAATCTGCCAAGTTTGAAAAAAATGCCATGTTTAAACCCAGTAATGTCAAACTTAACAAAAATTTACTCCTATTCAGGGAATAAAAAAGATGTTAGTCCTATTTTAGAATTTCTTAACATTTTTAATTCTCTCATATTCTAAATGGAGTATAAAGCGAACGGTGTTTTAAAATATATGTACAAATATTTACATCAAACAATCAACCAAATGATGTCAATTATTTGCATACATACTTTCCACATGTAAGTTAATTATTTCGCAACGACATGTCAAACGACCTCTAAGACTCATATTATCATTTGAACTCAATACCCACGGGCAACTCAATAGTCATCGAGTGAGACAGTTGGATTAATGTCTCGTGTTTAATTCCCGACAGCGGCGACTGTGAGAGTTTCATCTAATGTAATGTGATGATTCCTTGTGTGCATCAGATTTGGACTACATATCTCACACATAAACTGTTTGAAATCATATCGTGTTTGAGTGCACCCGACTCGAACCACCTCACTCAAAAAGTGTTTGAGATAATATCAAGATTTACTCTCCCACCATTATGTTGGGTCGAGTATGGGGGCGTCTAGGGTGAGCGATTTATTGGGTTGCGTAGATGAACTCATTTTTTTTTCCGAAAAAAACGCCAACAAATTAATTCAACAAATTGTTTGCCAGCTATCTTACAATAAAAGTTACAACACAATCATACATAGAAACGCCCGCTTTAGAGGAGCATAACAAAACAAGTTATGTTGTCTTTTGCTAGCTTGCTAAATCTTACTGTATGCAAGCGAGCCTCCTCCTATCATACTTTCCAATCCTATTGCCTTCCAAATTCTAGTCACTATGGGACACAAAAGATATAAATGATAATCAATTTCCTTATTCACTCTACCTAAATTGCAAACTCCTGAAATCGGGACCCGTCTTTTCTTTAGCAAGTCTTTCGTCGGTAACACACATGTGACTAACTGCCAGAGTCTAATCTTATGAGGGTGTCCCCGATATGGATTTTAAAAGATTTTATAAATCCATCACAATCTGGGTGTTCTCAATTTGGATTTTAATGGATCTTAAAAGCTTCCATTAAAATACGGATGTCCTCAATCTTTCCATGAATTTTAATTCTAATTTGTTCTAATGAATTTTAAAGGATTCTCATGGATTTCTACACATAAAACACTCCTGACAAAATACCACCAGCCCTCATTGGATTCTAATGGATTTCTCCCCCTTTCATTTTCCTTGCTGGGGAAGGAGAAGGCCGCTGGCTGCAACATATTCGTGGGCTTGTTGGGGAAGGAGAAGGTTTCATATTGTGGATTTGTGGGCTCTAGGTACTCCGTTCAAAGTAGCAGCAACTATTGGAATAAAGTTGTGGGATATGGAACTAAAATCCATTTAAAATCCATAGAATTGTAAAAGAATCTCATAGAATCTTTAGAATTCCATTACAATCCATGAAATTCACAATCTTTTAAAATCCCTCAAAATCAATGTCGAGGACACCTCCCTTAACCTTTCAACTCTTTAGCAAGCCTACATAGCCATCCAACTCGAACCATCCACTTGTGCTAATTCCCCAACAAGTTCACGGTAACTGCTACGGATGGTATATTGCCCCTAAGGATCGTCGCCACCGAAACTCATCTTCCACTTGTCGTAGACTTAAAGGAGTACTCATAATAGAAAGAGCCTCCTCCTATGAGAAAATAGTAACGACACAATCATCAGGGGTGGCCCTAGGGGGTGCAACAGGGGCGACCGCCCTAGGCCCAAGAAAATAGGGGGGGGGGATAGGCCCAATTTTTTTCTTTGTATATAATGTGAGTATGCTTCTTTTTTAATTTTTAAGCTCAATTAATTGGCTCAAGGTTTAATTTTTAAAATAAATGTAAAGTGGAACGCCTTTCTTAATTCTCTTCGGATCTCTAAGTTTTATAATCCTTTTAATTACAAAATTATCAAGTTATATTATGTCTCCCAAGTCCAAAACTCCTTATTCGCAAAGCCCGTCCAAATTAATTTCTTGTTTCCAAATTCCAATATCAACAAGAGTAAAGAACGCTGCAAGCGGTGAGTGCCTCAAGGATTTGTTAAGAATTGAAGGGTCAATCAATCGAGGAGTCCAAACGGCGGTCGGTGACCAAAAACTTCTTCTCTCAAGGCTTCAAACAATCCATTCGTGATCAATGAATTATTCTTGATAAAATTGGTTAATCAGGTTGGGATAAAGAGAGAAAGAGAAGAAGGTTAGAAAAGACATGGTTAAGTTAGAAGGGATCAATAGTTTTTTTTTTTGTTGAGAAATTTAATCTTGATAATTCCGTGAGAAACATTTTTAAGTAATGTTTTTCTTTTTATGTGATACTTATGTTGTTACTTTTCACCAAATATGTAATTTAAATAATAATAATAAAATGAGTTTCGTTTTTTATTTAATGGCCTTTATTATACTCTCTCCGTCCCATTAAATTCTTCCAACTTTCCTGTTTGGGTCGTCCCAAAAAATTCTTCCAACTTCCACTTTTGAAAAAATTGTGTGGTTCACATTCATTCACATTTTTCTTACACAACTACAACCATACATTTCTACTTTATTCTCACTTCCTTAATTTGAGAGCCAAGTCAAACTTGGAAGAATTTATTGGGACGGAGGGAGTATAATTATATTATAATTATTATTTTAAATAAATATAGTTTATTATTTGTCTTGAATATAAGCCCAAATATTATCTCGCCCATAGGTTCGAAAATAGACAGGACCAGCCCTGACGGTCATGATTCCAATTCTTCCCTATCTTCAATTAAGAGTGCCGCCAGTGCATGCAATTTTTGACGCGATTTTCATCATGGATCATCCAGAAACAATCTTTGTGTGCTTTAGTACAAGGTTAATGTTGTTTACATCTGACTCTCTTTCCCCACCTTACGGGAGCCTTTGCGACACTAAAGTATTGTTGTTATTGTTGTTGTTCAGTTAAGAGTGTCACCACATGCATTCATTTATGAAATTCCATTTGGCCGGTTGAGCTTACACATCCCGACCCCTTCCCCGATAACCGTGCTTTTTTTCAAATATAAATATTCTTACCATTTCCAACCCTTCTTCTTGTCCGGGCCACCATTACTTCCTGAGCTGCTAAAACACTTCGCTATGTAAAGGATGAATTATATCTCAATCTTTCTTCTGCAAAAGAACAATTAGGGTAGTATTTTTCTTTCAAAACTCTTCCGACCAGAGAATGTGGTTTAGTCATAAGCTTCCAACCCAACTTATCCAACATGACTATATTAAAATCCTGAAGCCTCTTAAAACCCACCCCAACCGATTTAGGCATGCATAAAGCCTTCAAGTTCTTCCATCTAATACCTTTGCATATAAACTCATCGCCTTTCCACCATAAATCGTTCATTAGCCTCTCTATTTCGATGATTAATTCAACGGGTAAAAGAAAAACATTCATGACATAATTTAGCATTGCTTGGATGACTGTCTTTAGAAGAATCTCCCTCCCTACTCTAGAAAGGAACCCGTTATTCCAACTGTGAAACCTTTGTATAACAATCCTCTCCTTTAAATAGTTCAAGATATGTTTTCCTCTCCACAAGTGGCGGCAAACCCAGATAGTTTCCCATAAACTCCGGCCTCTCGGTTGACTCCCAACACCTCACTTGGCTCTTCTCAAGAATGTTCTGTCACATTAGCACCTACTCAAAGTCTCATTATTAGATTTATTGTAATTAATCAACTGCATGTTGTGAGTCTCGTATTGTTTCGAGATCTCATTAATTTACTACCCGACATTCATCCTTCCTAGCTCTAAAATATACGAAGTATATAACTACCATCTGCAAACAGTAAGTGGAAATATTTTTGGGCCTTCTTTTCTATTGCTACCCCACTTGAACAACCCATTTTCTCATGTTTACGGATCAGAGCACTAAATCCTTTCGTGACAAGAATAAAAAATACGGTGATAATGGATCCTCTTGTCTTAGCCTTCAATGCGATGTAATATGACCAATACAGAGTTATCAAAAGGTACAAAATAAGACACCGTGCATATGCACTCCATCATGAGTTTAATCCACTTCTGACGAAAAACTCATTCTCTACATAACTTTTTGCAAAACGTCCCATTTCACTCTATCATATGTTTTGCTCATATCAAGTTTCAAAAGGCTACAAATCTCTCTATACCCTATCACTTATGTTTCAAAAAATGATGAGCTTCAAAGGCAATAACCACATTATCTACAACAAAT